GCACTTATATTCATGTTATATTACTTAACTTGGGGTCTTAGGTATGGTAAGTTTCCTTCTTTATTTCAGCATTTAAAAAAGTTAATGTTAGGGGCCAGTGCTGTGGTGTTGCTGGTAAAGCCGCCGCCTGCAGTGCTAGCTTCCCATATGGGCGCCGGTTCAAGTCCTGGCTGTTCTACTTCCAACCCAGCTTTCTGCTATGGCCTGAGAAAGCAGTAGAAGATGGCCCAATTCCTTGGGCCCCCTGTACGCGTGTGGGAGACCCAGAAGAAGCTCCTGGCTCCTGGTTTTGGATCGGCACAGCCCTGCCATTGCGGCCATCTGGGGAGTGAACCAGCAGATGGAAGACCTCTCTCTCTCTCTGCCTCTGACTATCTGTAACTCTGCCTTTTAAGTAAATAAATAAATAAATCTTTTTTTTAGAAAAGTTAATGTACAAGGACAACATTGTGGCATAGCAGGTTAAGCTACCGCCTGCAATGCCAGCATCCCGTAGGCGTGCTGGTCCAAATCCTTGATACTTCACTTCTGTTCCAACTCACTGCTAATGAGCTTACAAAAGCAGCAGAGGATGACCCAAGTGCTTGGGCCCCTACACCCACATGGGAGACACAAAAGAACCTCCTGGATATTGGCTTTGGCCTAGTTGAGCCCTGGCCATTGTGGCCATTTGGGGAATGAACCTGCAGATAGAAGATTCCTTTCTGTCTCTTTCTATCTATAGCTCAGCCTTTCAAATAAAAAAAATCTTTTTTAAAAAAGTTAATGTTCTCTTCTCCCTTCAGAGAAAGGTACCTCCTTCTTTGATGGCCCGTTCTTTCTACTGGGATCTCACTCACAGAGATCTTTCATTTAGGTCATTTTTTTTTCCCTCAATGTCTTGGATTTCCATGCCTGAGAAACTCTCTTGTCTAAATAAGATTGGAGTTTGTGAACTCAAGGGGCATCCATAGCCTTGGCTGCTCATGACAAGAGCTTCGGGTGATTACTGACGTCATAAATAAGAGTGTCAATTGTTAAATCAACAACGAGAGTCACTGTGCACTTACTCCCCATGTAGGATCTCTTTCCTTAATATGTTGTACTATGCGAATTAACAGTAAAACTAGTATTCAAACAGTACTTTATACTTTGTGTGTCTGTGTGGGTGAAATCTGTTGAAATCTTTACTTAGTATATAGTAAGTTGATCTTCTGTATATAAAGATAATTAAAATGAATCTTAATGAAGAATGGGATGGGAGAGGGAGTAGGAGATGGGATGGTTTGTGGGTGGGAAGGAGGTTATGGGGGGAAAACCACTATAATCCAAAAGTTGTACTTTCGAAATTTATATTTATTAAATAAAAGTTTTCTTTAAAAAATAAAAAGTTAATGTCCTATTGATTCATTATGTGAATAATTTGGAACATCATTTTTCAATATATCACTAAAGAATTAAAATAAAACACATTCTACATTTTGTGCTTTGAAAAGTTGTGGTTTGAATACAGATGTTTTTATTGACTTAAACTTTTAAATCTTGATAGAGTTATTGTTTTAAATCACAGTTTAAGGCAATAGATGATAGACTTTCAAATATGAAATCTTTTTATGGAATTTTAGTAGAAAAGAGAATATATAAAGTATTACCAGAAGCAGCCTATTATGAAATAAGGCCAAATTATATTTTTAAAAAAGTGGTCCAAAATATTTGCATTGGTGTTTTAGTAGTCACTGTATTGTTAAAACTCAACTAAGGTATTTACATTAGAAAATGCTACTGTAGACTCCAGAGATTGGTCTGGTTATCTTTCTCTCAGGAGAATAATTATAATAATAGTAACAGCAAGTAGTCATTTCTATGAGAAGGCATAGTTATGAGAGATTCACATGTGTTAGCTCATTTCATTATTATAATTGTCTTATGACACTATTGTTGACTCCATTTTTAAAGATAAGAATGTTAATCCACAAGGAGTCTAAGTAACTAGCCCAAAGTCACATGTGGCTGAAGGGTGACAGCTTGGATTGAACACAGCCACTTTCTAGAATCAGTCCTCTTAAATACAACCTCAAACCATTTCTCAATAACATGCCTTCTTTTATGTTGTGAAATAAACCAGATACAGAAAGACAAAACCATATATTCTAATTCCAGGACTCCTGCAGATACCAAAACCTGCAGATGCTCAAATCCCTTATATAAAATGACATAACGTTTGCATATAAGAAAGGCATATCATTCTAAATATAGTAAACTAACTTGAGACCAGGTACAATGGTGTCTACAAGGTTAATACTATAAATAGTTATTATACTGTTGTTTAGGAAATAATGCCAGGAAAAATAGTCTGCATGTGCTCAGCAGAGACACAGTATTTTTTTTTTTGTATTTTTTTTTTCAAATTTTTTAATCTGAGGTTGTTTGAGTGCTCAGATATGGGACCTGCTGATGCAGAACCTGCAGATGTGGAGGGCTCACTAGGTGCAACTCAACCTTGATTCAGAGTCCAACTTACTTTTAAATTGTCATTTCTTCTTGGAAGTTACACTCAAGAATTTGCTTGGTTTTAGGATGCTGGGGCCCTTTATATCATGGAACACTGGTTTATAAAAACTCCTTTGAATCCAGACTAAAAAAGATCTCAGTGAAGTACCTTGGAGAAATCCTGATAGAGACAAATCCCAAAGAAGTACACATCTGAAGGTCTCATTATCTCTAGGTTGTGTGTTTACTCTTAGACATGTGGAATGTACATTAATTCAAATCATAGAAGCAGAGAATAGATGTTGGCTACCAGGAACTCAAGACAGAGGGAGAACAGGAAGATGTTGGTTAAAGATGTTGCAGTTAGACAGGGAGAATAAAAATATCTATTTAAGATGACAGATACGTTAATTATCTTGACACGATTATTCCACAATGTACATATACATCATATTATCACTGTGAACCTCATAATTATAAATAATTATGATTCATTAAACATTTTTAAGAACGTAAAGCTTTAAAATAAGAATAAGCTGTTTCTCAAGACTGTAGATTTGTCTTTCTCCACTTTGGACACCCAATCATTCTGCTATCAGAAAACCACTAAGCAACACCTACTGAAACTAAGCTGATGTTTTTCAAAGGTGATTGAAGTGGTTTTTGGTGAAATCCATATCTCTGGAAGTTTGTGCCCCCACAAATGTACATATTGAAACCCAATCCCCCAATGTGGTTCTAATAAAAAGTAAGGCCTTGGGGAAAGGATTGGGTCAAGAGGGTTCCACCCCAGGACTGCTGTCAGTGTCTATGTAAGAGAGGCACTTGTTCTCTCTCTTCCATATGAGCGATGACACAGCCAAGAATGTGCCATCTATAAGGAAGAGGCCGTTATCCATCATAATCTTCACACCTTGATCTTGGATTTCTAGGTCTCCAGAACCGTGAGAAATAAATTTCAGTTGTTTATAAATTACCCAGTTTATATTCTTCGTTAACAACAGTGCTTAGAAACTGAGAAGTAATTGTATACTTATGTGCATTAAGAAATCAACATAATCATCATATGATTTTACAGATATTATGGACTGAATAAAATAATAAAAATAGTGAATAATTTAAGTCATTTCAGAGAAAAATATATTAAGGATGTAAGACATGTGTTAAATGGGTAAACAAATTTTGAGGATGGCATGTGGCTGACGAAAATTTTCTAAGCATTGACCTCAATTGTGCTGTTATCACTGAGCTAAATTTCTACAAAGACCAATGCCGGAGTGTCTCCACAACACTGTGGCAGAATTATGATCTGTACCATAGTGTGGTTAGCCCTCCTCGCCATTTTATTATATAAAACTACAAGTTGTCTCCTGTCATAACCACCTAGGCCCATTAAAGCAATTGGGCCAGTTTTTCAGTTATGTCTATTCCACTTGGAACCCACAGAGAGCACAGTAGGGCTCAAGTCTTTGCTGTCATCAGAACACCTAACCAGGCCTTAAGAAACCTAAAGAGGCATTCGGAGCTGGCTGAAAAGCTCATGAGAGTATTTCAGGCATGGAAAGCCAAGACACTCTGGCAAAAGATCTCTGCGAGTGAGATCCCAGTGGAAAGAACAGGTCATCAAAGAAGGAGGTACCTTTCTCTGAAGGGAGGAGAGAACCTCCACTTTGACTATGACCTTGTCTAAGCAAGATAAGAGTCAGAGAACTCAAGGGGCTTCCATAGCCTTGGAAACTCATGACTGGAGCATGGGGAGATTACTGATGCCATAGACAGGAGTGTCAATTGGTAAAGTCAACAACAGGAGTCACTGTGCACTTACTCCTCATGTAGGATCTCTATCCTTAATGTGCTGTGCATTGAGATTTAATGCTATAACGAGTACTCAAACAATATATTTCACTTTGTGTTTCTATGGGGGTGCAAACTGTTGAAATCCTTACTTAATGCATACTAAACTGATCCTCTGTAAAAAAAAAAAGAAAAGAAATTATCAATTCCCAACTTGACTCTCACTGGGATTAAACATGACAATAGGTCTGCTCTGATTTCATCATCATTTTAAAAAATCATCTATTATTTTTCACTTTATGTTTCTGTGTGGGAGCAAACTGTTGAAATCCATACTTAATGTATACTAAGCTGATCTTCTGTATATTAAGATAATCGAAAATGAATCTTGATGTGAATGGAAGGGGAGAGGGAGTGGGAAAGGGGAGGGTTGTGGGTGGGAGGGACGGTATGGGGGGGAAGCCATTGTAATCCATAAGTCGTACTTTGGAAATTTATATGCATTAAATAAAAGTTTAAAAAAAAAAAAAAGAAACCTAAAGAGCAAATGGGGAGAAATGTGAGGATATATGGAAACAAACAGGTAAGTGTGACACTTGGTGATCAAAAAGGAAAACACTTGTTCCATTCAAAGCAACACCTTAAACATAACACACACTTAAGTTAGTTTACTCTCACAAATTACTTTGAGACAGAGGCATTGTTGTCCTTTTACAGATGAAAAAACCAAAGCTCACCAAGCAAGCAGGGAGTGGAGCTGGGCCTCTTTGATTCTGATGCTGGAGGACTCCTGTACTCTGCAGTAGACACTGAAGATCAGAAATAATTCAGAGAAGATAAATAAGGCTGTAAGAGATCTTGGACAGGTGCATTTCAAAGACTGTCTTTTTTAAAAAGATTTTATTTATTTATTTGACAGGTGGAGTTACAGAGAGAGAGAGAGAGAGAGAGAGAAAGGTTTTCCATCTGCTGTTTCACTCCCCAAAAGGCTGCAATAGCCAGAAATGGGCCGATCTGTAGCTAGGAGCCAGGAGCTTCCTTCAGGTCTCCCACATGGGTATAGGGGCCCAAGAAGTTGGGCCACCTTCTACTGCTTTCCCAGGCCATAAGCAGAGAACTGGTTCAGAAGAGGAGTAGATGGGACATGAACAGGTGCCCATATGGGATGCTGGTGCTGCAGGTGGAGGTTTAGCCTACTATACCATAGTACTGGCCCCTCAAATACTCTTTTTAACAAATTTTAAGAAAAATGCATGACAAGCCACATAGCCCAGAACCCAGGACTATATTCTGGATATTCAAAGGCCAGTCTAATGTTCTTTCTAGCTCCATTTTCAAAAGGTTTGAGTATTCACTGGAAGATACAGCTGTAGAAGAAGCCTGCTTAAATTGAGTCAAATGGAAGCATCACTATGCCAAGTCACAGAGTTAGCACAGGCACAATGGCCAGCAGCCATGGAAACAATTTCTGCTGAATAGGTTATAAAGTAAAATGGGATACTGCAGGGTACTCTCCAAAGAGTGTCATTTCATGATATTGGATCCAAAACACTGAGCATTTTAATGCACTGGCAGAGAATGGAACTGACATTTATCTTGTCAAAATCTTTATTAGAAGTATTGCTATTTTATTATAATACCAATTAGTATATTCTTAAAGTTAAAAATTGAGTGAGATTATTTTCTCAAACACAAACTACAAGAGATATACTCCCCCCAGTGAATTATAATAGCACCAAATTAAAGAGCCACTTTCGTGTTTATGGTGTTTTCTCCATGGTTGAGTAGGCACAAATGTTTGCTGAATTTAATCAAACTCATTATAAAAGTTGAAACATCTATGTAGGAATGAATGAAGATCATCTAAATATGAGTTAAAGAGAAATTATAAAGTAAAAAATCATTTGTATTTCTAACAGTTTATACGTAGCTTCTTGTAAAACCATCCTGTAAGATAGTATTAACATAAAAATAATTTTGGTCAATAATGATAAAAATTTTGCCAAAAGTATTATAGTTAATTTTTTAGTGTTTCATAGTCATAGACTTTGGCTTTTTGATTGCCATCTGAATGCATAATGCTGCTACTAAGAGGCATATTAACCTAACTTTTAACTCTAGGCAATCTTTAAAAAGTCTTGCGATTGTTTTCTATTCAAACTTATCACAGAAATTCTCACTAATATATGAGTCCATGTATATACAATCAGCAACCTAAAACATAAAATTGAGATTTCACCTGACTGTACCACATTGTGCCTCCTTTCTACTTCCTCTCTTGGTTATTGCTTCATCGTGTTGCAGACATACTTTTTATTGGTGTCAGTTGTTTTTATCATTCATCCCTTTAACAGCCTATAGGAGATTCAGAGACTAATTGTTGAGCTCAGGAGTTCAACATAGATATTTCCTCAGATATACTTTATAGACATTTAATTTGAGAGTATTTATCTTCAACAAATTAGGAAATTATTGATAAAAACTGTTCATTAGCTGATATTTTTACTTAGTGAGATAAACTAGAAAATGACAAAATATGTGATTGCAATTAGTGATGTCCTCATTATTTAGTTATTGTGGTATATATGTTTTATCTTATTATAAGTGAAATTTCTTTCAGTTGATATCATCCAAACTTTGTTAATCAAAGCTGAAAAAAAAATCTTTAATAAACCAACTAATGTAATTGGAAGTAGGAAGTCAAGGCAGATAATAATAGGGTTTTAGATTTAAGAGTCCTCTTCTAGCTGTTCACAGAATTGACAAGAGGATTAGATTGGCCTGTGAGCACCTTTTTATGCCAGAGTAGACACCAGGGAACTGAAAACACAGCTGGGATGCTTGGATTATATGTATGACAAATCCCTGAGGAACTGCCAGCCAGATGCCCACAGTGAAGCCAGCATTTTTGTGTAGCACAGACATGAAATTAATGATGCGTCCCATGATGCAACTATTAGGATGAAACCATCTGTTGGGATTTTTTTTCATCCACCATTTTGTCACTTATAGATATGCATTAAGAAAGAAAAGAAAAACATGGTATAAAAAACTAATTTGCCTGTGGAGGTATTGGTATGTGGATTTGGCCTGATGACGATTTATTTGTTCAGGAATGTGAAATTCTCACTGTGTTGTATGTAACTCCAGCAATGCTCACCTGTATAATGCAGCAACTCAGAAAATTAAACTTTTGGCAACAGTGAGCATGCTATTGAATTCATTCATTTATTAGTGTGGAATATTGATGCAGGATGTAAGAGGACTTGAAGTAGGCCAAATGTAGAATAATATCAATAGTTTAAGAAAATGGTGAACAAATAGCACTACCATATGTAATAGGTAAGTTGGTTCTTAGCAACTTAAAAGATGAATAACGGAAAAGTTAGTGTGGTCCAACCATAAGTAATTTATTACTGTCAGTGCTTATATAATAGCAACACTCAAAAATAGTGACTTCAACACAAATGTCTTAGTCTTTTGGAAAGTTAGAACTTTGTCTACTTCCATTGAAAAGTAATATTTTCATTCAAATATTGTCACTATTATTTTCTTGGCAGATCGATCTCCCCAGTAAAGCATTGTGGAGAAATAAATTTTATAGTTTTTTAAATATGTACCACAACACATTAATAATATTTTATAGGTAATTATAATTGGAGAAATGTTTATATATAATTTCATATTTGATCATATTAATCATGAAGTGACTGATACAAATACTATCACCTAATTAAATATCAATTAAGTACTATCACCTGCATTTAAGCATGAGACAGCTAAGACATGGACACATCTATTTGCCTGTCCTTCCACATCATCATGTACCTGGTAATTGGAAGAGGGCAAACTGGATTATTTAAATATATATCAAATTGACTTCCCACTATTGAAGAGGGATTTTATTTAAAGATTACATTTGCCTTCCTTATGCAAATATTAGATTACAGGTCAAAAACTCAATACCCTATACATATAAGAGATATGTGATAAAATTTTAAACAATTGCAGGAAATATATTTAATTTTTATTTGTTTATTCTATGTGATAGGTAGAGAGTGAAACACAGAGATAGATGGATAGACAATGAGACAGAGACAGATAAATAGGCAGGGAGATCTCCCATCTGCTGGTTCACTCCCAAAATGGCCAAAGCCAAGATCTAGGAACTTAATCTGTGTTTCTCACATGGGTGGCAGGTACCCAACTACATGAACCATTACCTGTCACCTCCCATGATACGCATTAGCAGAAAGCTGAAGTTAGGAGTAGAGCTGGGGCTAGAAACCAGTCACTATGATGTGGGCACCCCACGAAGCATTTTAATTGTTAACTCCAAATGCCTATGGGCAATATGTTTAAAGAAATATTTATTTATGCGTTTGAAAGACAGAGATTTTCTATTCACTGATTCACTTCTTAAATGCCCACAACAGCCAGGACTTGGCCAAGCTGAAGCCAGAAGCCAAGAACTCCATCCAGATCTTCCTCGTGACTGACAGGAACCCAAGAATTTGGCCATCATCTGCTGCCTCCCAGGTGTATTAGCAGGGACCGAATTGGAACCAGAGTGACAAGGTCTTGAACCAACACTCCAATATGAGATATAGATGTTGTAAACTTTGGCTTCACTCACTGGATCACAATGCCCACCCCTGTAAGCAATATTTTTAATATAAACATCAGACACAGAAAATCACGTTTTGAAAATTTTCACGTTAAGAGTCTTGACTTGGTAGCAACATTGTTTAGTTTAGCACCTAATACAACTAAAATATATTTAGATTGATTATTGCTATGGTCTGAATGTATATGTTCCACCAACATATATATGTTAGAGTCCTAACCACCAAGGTGATGGAATTAGCAGTAGGACCACCAGCAGTGGGGCATTGGAAGGCAATCATGCCTTGAGGACAGAACTGTGTTGAATGGGCTTAGCACCCTTTTAAAAGAAATAGCTGTATTACTTCTTCTGCCATGTAAGGACATGATGAGAAGCCACAGTCTATGAAAAGGCTGACCTCTCCAGACACCAAATACATGGGAACATTAGTCTTGGACACCCTGGTCTCCAAAACTTCAAGAAATAAATGTTATGGTATTTTATTCAAGCAGTTATTTAGCAGAACAACATAGATATAAATCAACTCAGAAGCCTTCAATTTTGTCTACATCATTGATAATCATTCCTCTCTCCCTCTCTCTCTCTGTCTCCAATAACAAAAAGGCTGTTTTAACTAAACATTAAATACTTACTTACATATACATATCTATATACTTTATTAAAATGATGAAAATATGTGATGTTCCAGAGAGCTATAATAAAAAATCAATTTATATTAAAAAAAGATACTGTAGCAACACTTCAGTGAGTATTGCTAAGAACAGGAAGAATATCTTCTATCTAGTATATAAAATGCAAAACATTTCCTTTTCAATCACCACTTATTTCATATATAACTTAAAATAATGAATCCATCCCTCAGAACTCTGGGATAAATAAGCAATTCATCTTCTCAAGTGTGAAGAGGAAGAACCCTTATGAAAATGATATACTTCAGTTTTTCCTCGGAGTTGGCAGCCCTCACAGCCATTAACAAAACCTATCCTGCAAGGCAGCAAAGTTTACTTTTGGCTCCTGTCCCACATCTCATTTCGGCCCCTCCCTTCTCTTCCTGCTTTTTCTCCCCAGGGTGCTGGAACCTTTCTTACAGTGTCATCCCTCCAGGTAATGTATATTTTCTGTATCTTTTAAATAGACCTTGAACATAAGCATACCTAAAACCTAAATAATTAATATTTCAGG